CGAGCGCCGCGCCCTGGGCGCCGCCGCCCGGCCCCGCGTGGCCGACGACGTGCGGGCAGACTTCCAGCGCCGCCTGCCCTACAGCTACCTGCAGCGAGCCTACATCCAGGTGAGCCCCGCGCGCGGACCGCGCCTCCCTCCCTCCCTCCCGGGCACCTTCCCGCACCTTCCTCCTCCTCCTGTGTGTCCATCCCCAGCACTCAGGACCCGCAGTGCGGTCCTTTCCAGCCAGACACCCTCCTGGTGCCGGCTGTTGTCCCCCGCCCCAGCACCCCGGATCCAGGATCAGCCACTCTCCACCCAGCACCTTCCTCCTCCTCCTGTGTGTCCATCCCCAGCGCTCAGGACCCGCAGTGCGGTCCTTTCCAACCAGGCACCCTCCTGGTGCTGGCTGTGCATCCCCCCGGCACCTGGGATTGCTTGTCCTGAGTCTGGTCCTCTCCGCCCTGCTGTCCTCCTGTCCCATCTATCCACCCTCAAGCATGCAGGATCTAGAGTCTGATCCTTTCCTCCCAGACACACTTCTCATCGGCGTACCCACCCCCCAGCACCCAGGATCACTGGATCCAGAGTCTGATCCTCTCCACTCAGCCACCCCCCTTGTCCTGTCTGTCCACCTCCCCCAGCACCCAGGATCCAGACTCTGCTCCTCTCCACCCAGACATCCTCCTTGTCCAGTCCACCCCCGCCCCAAGCACCTAGGATCCAGAGTCTGATGCTCTTTGCTCACCCACCCTCCACATCCTGTCTGTCCACCCCCAGCACCCAGGATCACTCGATCCCAGACTGATCCTCTCTGCCCAGCCACCCTCCTTGTCCTCTCTACCAGACTGGGGCACCCCCTTTCCCATCCCTTTGTGCCTCCAGCCCCCGGGACCCAGAGGAGCTCCAGCAGGTGGGAATGGCAGGTCACCCCCACCCAGCCACTCACCTGGCCGTCTTCCCCCCCACCCCAGCCAGCCTGGACCCATCATGAGGAATGGTCTAATAGAGGCCCATCACTAGAAAAGTTCCCTACAGTCTAAGGAGAAGGACTCCTGATGTTTAAAAGGGAGACTGAATTCCTCGGTGGCTGTAAGGATGGATGAGTGAGTGGGTCCTAGCACGACATGTTCCCATCGGGGTCACAGATCGCTGTGGTTTTGCACCGGAGGCTTTCTGTGTGAGCTGAGGACTCTCGAACTCAGCACATGATGAAAGCGCTCCTGTCCTATTGGAAGTGCAAGCAGGAGGGAGGAGGGCTGACAGACTCACCGTGCTTGGAGGGTGTTCATGGACAAAAAAACCCCACTGCCATCACCGGGCAGCTCTTCTGTGTCAGCAGCACGTTGAATAGCTCGGACGTCACTAGCAGGGGGTTTTCCCTAGGTGTGTGCACACACGTGCGAGAGAGACACGGAGATACAAGCTAGTATCATCCTCTCTGCTCCCGGCTCGCTGGTGGCACGAGATGCTTTGCTGGATACAGCCAAATCAGGGTTTCCTGGTTCTCACCCCCAAATAACATTTATTTTTGGATGAAGAACGCTTTGCTGCCTCGGTGAGCCTGCTTATTCAGGCTTATTCACCCTGGGAGAGTGTAGCCTTGTTCAGTGCCGTAGCAGCCAAGCCCCGTGTGTGAAGCCAGTCACCCTCTCATGGCTTTCCTAGCTGTTATTATTGAAACCATGGGGAATGCTATTCTGTGCCAAGGTTTAAAACGGTGCTGGGATGTTCCCTCTGGACTGCGTCCTTATTTCACTGAATGCAGGGCCTGGCAGTTGGGACCGGCCGGTGTTGAGCTGGCGGCCTGCCTGCGGCTTGGCGGCCACACGTTTGCCGAAATCTGTCACCGAGCGGAGAAGGGAGCTGCAGTCCTAGAGAGCGCGGAGGCTTCTCACATAGTGACCGCACGGTAGAGGATCGCGGGCTGCAAGTGCTTGTCCCCGGGGTTAAGGCCCTACTGGAAATCATATTGCTGAGTTGTTTGCACTTCCCTTCTGGGTTTTGTCATGTGTTGGCTTTGGTCTGGGCAGCTCCCAGATCTGGGAACACAAAGAAAAGGGCATGAAGGAGGTGAAGCATCCTCGTGCATGGAGAGGACCGCCCTCGCAAACAAGACCAGCGCAGGACCCCCTAACAGGGGTCCCTTGAAGTCAGTGGCACCCTAGACCTTGGTGTAGCTTAAAACCAGCCAGCTGCAAGGCCAGCGGGATATTGCACACCTGCGCCTGGGCCCCGCGGCCCCGCTCGGGTTTTACAATCCCTGCAGAGAGTGTTTCCCCACTCTCTCTTGTAACAATGCTTGTTCTCAGGCTCGGCACGAATGTTTGAGTTTCAGCCCCCGCTGTCAGGGAATGGATTTCTATTTTTTCCCCCCTTTGGATGCAGCTGTTTTCATTTGGATTGCAAAGCACCCTGTTGTCAGAGCCTTTCTCGCGCTTCTCTGGTTCGGTCCCCGGCAAGCCAGGGCATTCTGCATCGTCCTTCCTGAGCAGATGTGTTGCTAGAGGAAAGACTCTCTCTGCCTAAGGATGCTCTGGGATAAGTCGCTCCAGGGCAAAGACTTAGCCAGGCCAAGTGTGGTCTGTTCTGATTACAGAGGGAGGTCCAGACATGGGTTTTATCTGCAATTATACTGAATGGGAGCTCTCCCAGAGTTGCAACCCATCCCGCCTGCATCCCTCTGTATTGCACATTGCTTTGCTGCCCTATGCAGGGCTCTCCACGTCCTTCCCCCGGGATGCCTCTGCCCAGGGCTTCACCAAGGGGGTGGTTCATATCTGTTCTGCCCACTGCTGTCTGCAGTCTCGATCTCTGCTGAGTCCCTTTCCCGGCTTCTAGATGAGCCGAGCCCCTCTGCAGCTCCCGCTGGCTTCCCTCGGACAACCCCTGCCCTTGTACTGCAGCGGTGCCAGAGAGGTGGGCAGGCTGTGCCCAAACCCCCTTGGCTAAGTGGGTCTTTCTCTCTCATTTGGCACTTACGCTGCCAGCTCTTCACTCCTGTGTATCAGCCAGTCTCCTCGTGCCTCTGCAGAGCAAGGGTCGCTATTTATTTTCCTTCCACCCGGGCAGCTGCGAAACCTCCTGTGTGCTTTTAAGCCTCGGAGCTGGGCCTTGCATTGGGCTGCTCGACCCCTGCTTGGCTTTTCCACACCAGAAAGGAATTAAGGAGGTTAAATATCCTTCCTACGGTGTGTCCTGTCCCCTTTGCATGGCTGGGGTGGGTGGGTGGCTGCTGGGGGACTTGGCTTGATTTCCTGCTGTGCTTTGCCGGCAGCCGTGGATGTCGTTTTGCATTTTCAGCGAGGAGCAGCGGTGTGGAATGTGCTCTGGACGCCCACTCCTGACCTCTTGCCTGCTTCTTCCTTTCTCGGGAGGGGAAGAACATGTCCCCTTGGGAGGCAAGGACAAAACATGGAATAAATAACAGCTCACGAGGCTTGGCGCTCAGACAGCCCTTTGAAAGAGGCAGGGCCGTGTAAAGGCCAGCTAATCCCTGGTGCATCGCAGCGAGGTGAGAGGAGGGAGTGCCATCCTTCCTGTCTCGAGTCAGGGCCCCAGGGGGAAGGTCCTTGCCGCTAGTCGCAAGCAATGCCAGGGAAGCATGCAATCCAGATCCAGAAGCACAGGGTCTGTTATGCTGCAGCAGACCCTTAGGTTGGGCTGTCTGTGCTGCTGGGATCCAGAGTCACTCTGGATTCACTCCCGTATAAATGAGAACCCCTGCAGGACATCATTGGGGGAAACCAGTTTGGAATAAAACACTTTCTGCAGGTCACTGGGCTCTTTGTGTAGTTCGAGATGGTCCCACGGCAAAGGCAAGGGGCTAACGGCGGATCACCTGCCCTTGCTGGGCTGGAGCTGTTCACTCTGCTGCAGTCGCATTCATCCGCTTGGTTCCTTACGTGATTTTCTTTGTTTTCCTTCATTTTTCGAAGGACAAACGGGGAGGGAGGGAAGAGCAACAGGCATGGGCATGGATGGGGGGAGTTCTTCTAATGCACCGAGGTCTCAAAGGGATGGATTTGGTAGCCATGTTGGTCTGAGACAAAAAAAAATGCAAAATAATCTAGAACTCTGGGTTCAGAAATGATACCGTTTATTAGACCAGCCAGGAAATTGCAAAAAAAAAAAATATATATATATATCTTTTTTTCTGCATGCTTTTGGGCTCAAACGTCCTTCATCAGGCTCTGGGAAAATTAAAGATCGTAAAAAGTCCCCATAGGTAGGGAATAAACTTCATTTTTGCACAGAGGCAGCTGGAGTTGGGAATCTGTCCCTTTGGGTCCATGAGAGTGTCTTTGGGAGTGTCACTCTCAGGGACTTTTTACCATCTTTAATTGTCCCAGAGCCTGATGAAGGGTGTTTGAGCCTGAAAGCTTGCAGAGAAAGAGATGATTTCTTTCTGCGATTTCCTAGCTGGTCTAATAAACGAGATCATTTCTGAACCCGGAGCTCTAGTTTTTTGCATGTCTGGGGTTGAAAAGAGAGGCAAAGTAGCCTGTCATCGGTGTGGATGCGTCTTGCTGGCACTCCCATCACACCAGCAGAGCCCCGTACCCTGCTGCATCTCTGCCGGGCTTTGGCAGGAGCGGGCTGATCACCCCTGGCAAGCTGGCATTTCATCCGAGCGTGCCTGGCACGGCACTGAAGCCATTTGTGCTGAACGCTGCCTGGAGGCTGAAGCTCCTTGCCCTTTTCCATGCTGCTCAGCAAGGCAGGGAGGTAGGACTAGGAAGCCACATCTGGCACGACGGCCCTCGCTGGCAGCTGAATCAGGAGCCGTGTTGCAACTGGCTGTGGACATTGTGCCTGTGAACAATACGACCGAGCAGAGCCCCCTCCTCTCCCGGCGCTGGCTCCCGTGAGTCAACAGCAGCCCCCGGCCAAAAATAACAAGCCTCCTCCTGGAGAAGGGGCTCTGTCATCAGTCACACAATCGCTCCTTCTCTCCTAGCCCGCTGCATGCAGCCCTCGCCCTGGGGTTTCTTTTCCTCCCCTTGTTTTCCTCCCATGCACCTCCATGTCCCCTGATTTTTACCTGCATGATCTTTGTTTCCTTCCTGGTTTGAAGCTCCCCGAGTGCTCAACTCTTTTTGTTCCTCAGTGCCTGTTGCTGAACTC